ACAGACCTTATTATTATAAGCTTTTCTCAATCAACATATTCTCACAGATATAAAATATGCCCAAGTAATAGCAGGAAAATAAATCAAACTGTTTTTTTCTTTAAAAAAAAAAATTTAAATATAAATTATTAAAATTCTTGTATAGATATTAAAAATAAAACTGCTTACTAAATCAAACACTTCCATGCTATATAGTACACTAAAAACGAGTATGTGGGCCAAGAAGTATGTCCCAATTCAAAGAATTCGAAAAAAAAAGTTTGACCTTCTACTTCCGAGATTCTGAAGTGTGCATCGGATGGACGCTACCCTATGCCATGATGCACCGGGACAGAATTCATGAATGGGAGTGAAGCAACGCAACTGACGCGGAAAGGTCACGTGATGATGAAGACAAAATGGCGGATGTAGTACGTCGGAGTTACGTTTATACTACTGAAATTCATACTGTATAAAACGTCTTTTTCTAATGATCAAGTAGTACATTTAAATTCAAATGCAGTACCTACTTAGTAGGCAATTTTGGAACCAACCAAACTGATCACATTTTGTTGAAATATAAACCATTTCAATGTGGTGTTGCCATTGGCCTATGAACATTTTCTGCCTGTTGTCAAAGTATTTTAATAACTGTAACAAGAGGCAATTCAATCATATCTCTACTTTAAAAAGCTATCATAATGTTATTTATCGATATGTGGACCTTTCAGGATTCTTGGGAGCTATGCAAATTAAAAATGTAAAACAGCAAATACATTAGGACCATTGTTATTGTTTACATCCCTCAAAATGGTGTATAAAGCAATTGGCAACACCTTCAGCCCACTTATTTACATTTCATATATAAATATGAATAAAAAATATTTTAGGGTATACATTTCATTCAACCGTAATGATACCATTATACCGCCCAGCCCCATTGGCTATGTTGTTCACGCTTTCAAAAGATGTGACTGTGATTGGCTCAACAGAGTTCAAAATGTTCACGGCAAATGGACGTTTTAAAAATTTCAGTCTCAATTTCTACCAAATTCTGCACTTTCGACAGCCCTACTAATAATAAGCAAGAGTCTAGTTTAAAAGATCCATGTATAAAGCTTCATTAAAGTTATCTGGTCAATAAAAAACAGCAGTTTTTAGACTGCTTAAAAATGTACTGCATTTTGCATAGACTTTAATCCTCTTTCAAAATAATCACTCTCAATCAAACAGATTTGTGCAACTTGGCATTTCACAACAGTGCTAAATTTAAACCCTAAAACTGTAGTGCATTGAAAAGTCAGCACAACCTGATAAACTTGAGAAGAGCAAACAAAAATAAAAAACATTTTCCTTTTCAGTTTCTTTTGTTACTAAAATAGCATCAAATAATGCAAACATCTCTAGCAGCTACAATACCAGTAAAAGAGATACATCTGACAGCAGAAGACATTGGCCAACATGTTCCTGCGCAAACCAACATCTACTTCACAGGCCGGTTAAGAGAAAAACAGCTAAACTTCTGAAAAGCAGTGCACCGCTTACCCACAACTGATTCAAATTTCTCTGAACACTGAGAGAAAGGAAGTGATAGTTTTGGCAACCTCACAGGGTAGAGTGAACAGACATATTTCCTTATTCATAAAAATGCAGTCAATGAATGCAATCAACAATAAAATAGAGATGCGAGCGGCCATATCGGTATCGCCCAATACATTCCAATGAACTAACTACTCTTCAAGCTTGGAATTTGTAAATGATTTCACAAAAGGTGTCGTTTTTTTTCCTAGTTTGAAAAAATATCAGTTTATCGGCTTCAAAATAAAGTTATCGGTTTGCAGTGTTTCCAAAAATTTCATATGCATAATGAACAATAACGCATCACTACCTTATCTGAACCAAGATAAATCAAGTGAGTCAAATCTTTCAGAATCTGAAATAATAAAGATAACATTGTATGGAAAGCGCTGTGTTCACACAACTCCTTCATGCTATCCCAACACAAATTGATTTAGTTATATTAATTGGTAAATAATTAAGTTGTTCCCCAAAAAAAGCTCATGAATTGTGTAGACTCAGCTCATTTTAAAGTAGTAGTTTGAACAACCAGCTAAAATATTTTTTGGAGTGTATGGCATAGATGAATATGGAAATGTTGTACTGTTCATGAGCTTCAAACACCATTCCAAATACAGTTATCGCTTATCAGTGTTTACAAAAATGTTCGTATTGAACAACAATGCATCACTACCTAATCTAGAACAAGATGAATCAAGCAAGTAAAATCTTTATGAATCTGAAAAAATAAAGATAACATTGTATAAAAAAATGTACACCTTTGGCATAGATAAATATAGAAATTAAAGTAGTGAGCCTCAAACACCATTGAGTCCTCGCCATATAAATGTCATTTGAGCAAAGACCACTGCAATACAGGTGAATCAGAACATAACCCTGACTGTGACATCCCACTCGGGAAGCAGTATGTTTTATCCAATTCTCAACTGCTGAAGTAATATCTTGTTTATTTCATTATGTCCTAGTGAGATAACAACATTGATGACTTAACAATAATTATGATGACACTGGTGGCAACCCCTGGTTAATTAAGGACTAAGGCAAAGGACAATTAATGAATGAAAGATGACACCGAATGCAAGGTATTACTAAAATAACCTTCACATAGCTAGGCAGCAAACTCCAGCTATATCTTGAATAGACAACTAAACATTATAACAACCTATTTACGAAAGGTTAATATTACTTTCTGCTTGCTTTGTCATACGTTAGATCTAAAAATACAACTGTAGATACATTCATGTCAGACCCTTTTGTAGAGTAGAATTATAATTTAGCCTAAATTTCATCAAACAAATTATAACTCAGAAGTCGATGCACACACAGTTTATTTTTGAACATTTTTGCATATTTTGCACGCTTGTAACGAACCTTACAAATATGGCAAAAACCAACCAAATCTTTCTATTATACTGATTGTGCTTTTTAAACACCACTTCGTGGCAATTCATAACTTTATTTAGTGGCTAATCTGTGTGAAATTGTACGATCTCATTTAAACAATTTAGTACGATTTGCTTATCCCATAATGATAGTTGAGTTTAGAGGTGGGGTTGGGTGCCATGCCTCCTTTAAAAATCGTACATTTTCATACATATTCGTACGAATTAGTGACTAAACTGACAAAAATTAAAATAGTAATTATTTCCCATGAGATCAGGCTTGTTTTTTGCAACTGCAAGGTGCCTTTTTCTATTCGTAGCGAGTTTTTGGCCGCCTTGCGTTCTAACTGCATGCAAGGCAATTTTGACAGAGGACTCTTTTTCAAAAAAAGTTCAACACTGTGTGGAAAAAGCACTCGACAGTCATTGAAAAGTTACATAAAGAAACTGGCAATGTATTCCCCGATAAACGACAATATAAACACAAAGAAATCAATAGCACTGATTCAAATAATAATCACAGATGGATTCAAAAATAGAGAAAATGCAACAAATCTTTGCAAACATTTTACAAATTGCAAAGTGCTCTCAGATTCAAACAAGTTCATTTAAACTACAATGACACACACGCACAGATGTGTTATTGCAAATTAAGGTTAATAAACAAATATCTTCTTTCAAAAGGCATTTGTGAAAATGAAAGCTTAATTTATAGATAAAATAATATTTAATTGTCATCCAGCTTGACAAATATATTTGTGCTAAAATCAAACAATTGTGTTATGTTCTTGTTAATTTGATATCATACCACATTACACAGTGCTGTTTTAATTTATTTGAAAAACTTATTCCTGACAAACGGGTGAAATTATTGGACTGAATGACAAAATCAAAGTATATGGTTTTAAAATAACTAACTCATAATTATTCTGAAGCTGCACAGTGGATCCTTCAATACATCAAATGATTTTTGTTCTAATAACCTACACACCTGATAAGATTTGTTTTGATACATAAACTACTGTCACGCTAAATGACTACTAAATGACATTTAAGTAGGTTTAGTCTATATTACATGGTATGATGAGTCATTGTTTGCTCAGAAAAAAATCCTTCTAATGTACAAAAGAAGACGTCATTACTCATTTTTAACCAAGCTTTTATCTTGACCCACTTACAGTGCATAACACATCATTCAAAAGTGTCAATCTTTCTCTTTACCCTACATCTGTGTAGGAATAATTTGTTAACTCATAGCAAATTGCTCTGTGTTTATCACCTCCAAAAAGAAAAAGGAAAGGAAATAAAACTGAATGTTACCAGCTTAACTTTGAAATGTTCACACAGGTCACCATAAATGACTGTAAATCTAAAGTTATCAGTGTAAATGGGAAGAGGAACTTTTTCCTCAGCACCAGATTCCACATATATTTTCAATTTACATCCCTTATGAATATATCCATCCATTTATCTATTCTAAATACACAAGTACACAACATAGTTTAATAAGCTAATGTAACCCGTAAAAAAATCACAAATGTTCAGTAATTATTATTACCTTTAAATGCAAAATATAATAAATTTTGTTTACAACAGACAGTTACAACAGACCAAAACAATGCCAGGAAAGGCCAGACAGCAGCACAAACACAACAGTAACACAAAGCCCGTTGAAAAGGCGTAAACACACAACACAAAACACACATTTAAATCATGAAAACAGCAAATATGAGAAAAATGGGTGAAAACGAGAAGTGTGACAGCTAGCTGAAGTCAACAACAGGGCTAACGTAAAGCAGCTCCGTCCACACCCAAACACAGCTGTCTGGGGCGAACTCATGTAGACATTATTATTATATCCCTCTGATAGATGCATTTAAAGACTTGGATATCCCATCTAAATCCTTTATTTGTCTGGTTTGCCTGTTAAAAATAAGATGAAAAAAAGATGCTTCGATCCTGTCAGTGGCCTTGAACCTTCGACTAACGCTAATGCTAACGCGGCTAACTCAAGTTTATCTTCGTTTCATTATTAAAAGCCAAGCAAATATAAACACTCACCTTGCTTACTGTCTATTTTCCCAGACATCTTGCTGACAGTAAGTGAGCTGGTCACGATCGACAACCGAAAGATGTTGGTTTCTCGCCGTTATTTCAGCATCTTTAGGAGACAGACCGGTCGGTGTGGTCCTGGTCTGTGTCTCTATGTGTATGTGTGTTTGACTCTGCCTCCTCCATCCACACACTCACACATACACACACACTCGATCAGACACTCTCACACACAGACAGCCCAGCAGCTCATAACGATTGTTAGTGAAAGTGTGTGATTTCCGCAGTAATGCCGCCCCCATACGGCACAATGTAGTAGCGGTCCACTCGGTTACTTGCGGGGCGGTCGAAAAATTGGCAAATATTCATTTATTCGTTTTCTTTTTTTACGTAGTCGCTTTATTAATCAGGGGTGACCACATCGGAATGAACCACCAACTTATCCAGCATATGTTTTACACAGCGGATGATGCCCTTCCAGCTGCAACCCATTACTGTCACTACGGACAATTTAGCTTGCCCATTTTACCTATAGCGCATATCCTTAGACTGTGTGAGAGAGCTCCTGGAGAAAAACCACGCGAACACGGGGAGAACATGCAAACTCCACACAGAAACGCCAACTGACCTAGTTGGGGCTCAAACCAGCGACCTTCTTGCTGTGAGGCGACAGCGCTTGGGCAAATATGACCTTTTTTATTTCAACCAAATAAAAGTTGGCTAGCTTATTTTATATATTTAATTAATGTTCAAAGTGAAAAAAAGGAAATTTAAGTTCACATTTCATTTTATAAAAAAAGACTAAATAAATGAAATAATAATTTCCAAAACATGATTTATTTCCAAACTGTGAAAAAAATTATACAAATTTACACTGTAATAACTACGCTAACCGGCCACTTTATTAAGTACACCTTACTAGTTCCGTGTTGGACCCCCTTTGCCTTCATAACTCTTAATCCTTCGTGGCATAGACTCGACAAGGTACTGGAAAAATTCAAGGTACTGGAAAAATTGGGCCATGTTGACATGATGTCATCATGATGCGAATCTCCCGTTTTACCACATCCCAAAGGTGCTTTATTGGATTGAGGCCTGGTGACTGTGGAGGCCATTTAAGTACAGTGAACTTATTGTCATGTTCAAGAAAAAAGTCTGAGATGATTCATGCTTTATGACATGGTGTGTTATCCTGCTGGAAGTAGCCATCAGACGATGGGTACACTGTGGTCATAAAGGGATGGACATGGTCAGCATTAACACTCAGGTAGGTTGTAGCGTTGACACAATTCTCAATTGGTACTAATGGGCCCAAAGTGTGAGAAGAAATTATCCTGAAAATATGGCTGATTAGAAACTTGTGATAACAAGCTTTTGGACAGGTGTACCTATTAAAGTGACCAATGAGTGTAAATAAATAAAGGGTATTTTTTCAGAGGAAATTTATTAAAATGTAACTTCAGAACATAATAAAACTTTACACTATAGCCCAGCTTACTTGGTGGTAAAAAATGACCCTTTTTATTTAAACAAAATGAACGAAATATTGTTCATTTTCTTGTCAGCTTAGTCCCTTTATTCATTCAGGGTCGCCACAGCGGAATGAACTGCCAACTTATCCAGCACGCTTTTATGCAGCGGATGCCCTTCCAGCCGCAACCCATCTCTGGGAAACATTCACACCCACACTCATTAGCACTCATAAACTACGGACTATTTAGCCTACCCCCAATTCACCTGTACTGCACCTCTTTGGACTGTGGGGGAAACCGGAGCACCTGGAGGAAACCCACGCAAACGCAGGGAGAACATGCAAACTCCACACAGAAATGCCAACTGACCCAGCCGAGGCTCAAACCAGCGACCTTCTTGCTGTGAGGCAACAGCACTACCTACTGCACCACTGCGTCGCCATCTACAAATTAATAACTGAGTAAATAAAGCGTATACATTTATTTTAAGAAAATGTGAGTTATTTATAACCTAACTACAGAAAGTAATAATGTGTAACAGTGTACTTTTGTGGATGATCAGTAATGACCTTTTAGTTGACCTACTTTATTTTAGTTTGTTAATGTTCAAATTGAAATCAAAAAGAAAAAGTTGTTAAACAAAAAGACAAATCAAATTTTATTAAATTATTCTGTCCAAAACTGAAAATTCTTTACAATTAAAAAAAATGTACTTCTACAGCTCATTAATAGACTACGCAAATAAACAAACAAATAAACAAATAAACTAAATATTATAATAATTTTAAGGAAATGTATCCATAAAAAATGTAATAACTTTAAGATATAATAAATTGGATTGAAATAAAATGTTTATGCAAAAATATGTTTTTGCATTTCTTGGGAAACAGGTTTAGAAAGGCTACAACACACACCACAAAGATATACCAATACAACACTTTTACAAATATTATCATTATGAGAATTTTTAAATGATGCCTTTCTTGGTAACCAGGTTGAAATTAGAAACTGCTCATTCAGAGGTTGCTCTTTCAGGATACTTAAAACAAGTAAAACAAGACATTTACTTTATAATTAACATAATTACTTACAAATAAGATACTTCATTAGGTTATATTGTTTGTCATATAAAAGAGATAAAAAAACAGGCTCATATAAGTCAGTTGTTGACACATCAACCTTAAATAAGCTACAGCTAAGAAAAAAAAAGTTAAATTTCACTGGTAATTGATTAAATAAATCTCTTTTGGTATCTTGTTAAAAACTCGAGAGACTTTTAGTAAGGAGAACATTAATTTAATTTAATTAATTTCATCGTATAGATATGAATAATTGTTAGAGATATTAATAGATATAACTTGATTGTGAATTTTCTGAAAAAGAGTTATATTTTTAAATAATTATAATAAGAATGTTGGGCAGTTCATTCCGCTGTGGCGACCTCTGATGAATAATGGGATTAAGCCGAAGGAAAATTAATGAATAAGACCGTGATTGTGAAGTAAATCTAGTGTTCGTTGTGATTTAAATGTGTGTCCAGCAGGGGACGCGCCTTCCCCACATCCCACTCTCCTTCCCGCTCAAACTAATGACATCATCAGGATCAATACCCATCGTGCTCACAGAACATGAGGTAATGTTGAATGCCAAACTGATGTTTTAGATGTTAGTTTTAGATTTTACACTAAAATGACTTGTTCTGTTGATGCCCTGAAATGTCTTACACATAAGATTAAATAGAAGGAAAAATATAACCTGTAACCAAAGGAGACTGACTAAACCATGGATGCCCAAACTCAGTCCTGGAGAGCCGGTGTCCTGCATAGTTTCGCTTCAACTTCCTTCAAAACACCCATCTGGAAATTTCTAGAATAGCTACCTAGAAAGAGCTTGATTAGCAGGTTCAGGTGTGTTTAACTGGGCTTGGAACTAAAATATGAAGGACACTGGCCCTCCAGGACCGAGTTCAGCCACCCCTGGAGTAAACCATTCTTCTTACCGTATTTTTGTGTATAGTTTGTATCTTGTCATGTTTAGGGATGTAGGAATGATCTTAAAACATGTTAAACAAAAGTTAGCTTGAACCAAAAGGTGCTGAGACTTTTATTTCAGTATGTGGATGTACTTAAAAAAAAGAAACGGGACTTTCATTTTGCGCATGTTTCCCTCATAGCTAACTAAGGGAAAGAGGGGCGGGGTTAAGAATATTGTGGCTGAAGCTGTTAAACCAGGGCTCACCAATCTTGGTCCTGGAGGGCCGGTGTCCCTGCAGGGTTTAGCTCCAACTTGCTTCAACACACCTGCCTGGATGTTTCAAGTATACCTATAAGACCTTGATTAGCTTGTTCAGGTGTGTTTGATTAGAGTTGGAGCTAAAATCTGTAGGGCACCGGCCCTCCAGGAACAAGTTTGGTAACCCCTGTGTTAAACTGATGTCAACAGAGAACCGCCACTCCAAACGCAGAAGCAAATGGTCTGATTTTGATTGAAGATCACCAAAATAAACATTGTTGTTCAGTGGATTAAATTGCACAGATTAATTATTCGCCTAAAGAATAATAATGCATGCTAGCCAAATAAACATAGTACATTTTGATTTCACACAGACTTTAAAGTCAAAGTTCAAAGGTGGCTATTCAAAAACTCAGTACACAGATTTAACAAGATGTTTTTTAAGGTAAAATACCCTGAGATGATAACGAGATTAGAAACAATGGGCAAGTTTTACGCCGATATAGGAATAACATCTTTCTATAGTAATAAAACTCTGAAGTGTGTAAGTAAACACTTTCTTTTTACCCAGTGGGCCCATAACTAAGGTGTCTTGGGTTAAAAAAAAGAAATGAAATATGCACTATAGTGTTGTTAGTGATATTTAAAAAACAATGTTTTAAATGAATTGTAAAATATTTTTTTTTTTAGGTCAAGTCTAATAGGCTAGCTCTGGTGTAAACAACATGCAAATATAATGCTGAAATTAATTCTAAGCAAATAACATGATTTACCCATTTATTCCTTAACATGGATTAATATACGCTAATTATGTAAAAATATAAACGACTGAAGGAAAAAAATCTAAACATGAGGGGGATATCAAGGTCATTATACTGTACAGTGCAAGCAACAGTAAGTAAATCATATTATACTGAGGGAATTTATAAAATATACAGAGAACAACTGAGAAAAAAAACATGTTAACATTGTTAAATTGACCCCAAATAAACACCTTTACAGCACTTTGAAATATTTTTTAATGTCAGTGCCGATAGCCTAGTGGTTAGTACTTTGATTCTAAGCACTGAGATGCTCACGACGACCCAATGTTCGATTCCTGTCTCAATGTCCTTTACCACAGAGGAATGAACCGCCAACTTATCCAGCCTTTGTTTTTCACAACGGATCAGCAACCCATCACTGGGAAACATCTTTACACACTCATTCACACACATACACTTTGGACAATTTAGCTTATTCTATTTACCTATAGCGCATGTGTTTAGACTGTGGGGTAAACCGGAGCACCCAGAGAAAACCCACAAGAACACAAGGAGAACATGCAAACTCCACACAGAAATACCAACTGGCTCAGTCGGGACTCAAACCAGCGACCTTCTTGCTTTTAGGCGATAGAGAGCCTAAGTAAAAATATTATTTTTCAGCATAATTGTTAAATGCTTTTGAGCATCAGATCATCATATTATTATAAATCTATGAAAATATTT